CAGAGCTGATCAGCACATTCCTTCAACACTTTTCCGGGGATGTTGTCTGGGCCAGTTGCTTTGTGCGGATTAATCCTCCTGAAGGTACTCCTTACTTCTGCTGAGGTCACGCTGAGATGCTCTTCATCAGGTGGTGAGGTGAGTCTGGTGCTGGGTGGTCTGTTCGGGTCTTCAAAGCGTGCATAGAACTTGTTGAGGGCATCAGGCAGAGATGGGTCTTTGGGACATTGTTCACTCCTTCCTTTATAATCTGTTATGCACTTAATGCCCCTCCACATGCTCCGAGGGTCTTGTGAGATGAATTGACCCTCGATCCCCTTTGCATATGTGGCCTTGGCCCTCTTAATACCAGCAACCAGCTCTTTTCTTGTCCTACTCAGCTCCTCTGAGTTTCCAGACCTGAAGGCAGTGTTCCTGGCTTCCAGCAGGGTACGCACCTCTGCATTCAGCCAAGGTTTTCTGTTTGGGTAGCTTTTAACATTTCTGATAGTGGAGACTGTGTCAGTACATGTACTAATGTAACCCAGTACTGAGGATGTGTATTGGTCAAGATCAAGCGAACCTCCATTTTCAGCAGCTTCTCTGAAAACCTGCCAGTCTGTTCGATCAAAACAATCTCTCAGTATGGGGCCACTGTCCTGGATCCAATATTTAACTTTCTTTTGAACCGGTCTGGAGCGTCTCAGCGGGGGCATGTAAGCAGGAGCCAGGAAGATTGAGATGTGGTCTGACAGTCCTAGGTGGGGGCGGGGTTCGGCTTTTTATGCATCTTTTACGTTCGTGTAAACACGGTCCAGCGTGCGGTCTCCACGTGTTGGAATCGTCACATGCTGATTAAAGCTTGGGAGACAGTCCTTTAGATTCACGTGGTTAAAGTCTCCGGCTACAACGTAAAGAGCCTCGGGGTGTTTGTTCTGCAGCGAGCTGATGATATCATGAAGCTCCTGCAGTGATTCATTAGCATTAGCGTCCGGAGGAATGTAAACAACTGTGATAAAAGT